GTGATTTTTAGTCGGACGCTTCTTTCTTTACTCTTTTATAATGTTAGATCGAAAATAGATAATTGTTGTATTTTCTTTAGAGGAGTTATAATAAAAAATGTATTGATCACAATTTTGGAATGTTAAATTTTAACTTATAAAAATCCAATTATAGAAATTAATTTGATGAGTTATTTGAAAATACGAAAGTAATGTTGAATATTTTATATATTTTTATATCTAGGTTACTTAAGGCCGAAGCCCTGATTAAAGGCCGACGACGAAGTCGAAAAAATCGTAATAAATAAGTACGGATAATCAAAAAAAATGCTTCAATGATAGCTGCTAAAAAAACTTAGTAATCGAACAATTGATGATTCATCCAAGAACGTATTAATAAGGAAAATTAGGCGATGCTTTTATTTAATAATAAAATAGAAATAACAATTAAAGATGTAGTCTATTCTATGATCAATGAAGTAGGTTCATGAAGATGTATATATATAATATAAATAAATGAAATTAATTGCTTTGTTATTTAATTTTAAAGTAGAAAAGTTTAAAGTAGAGAAATATTATTTTAAAAATATTTTTGATAATAAATATTAAAAAATATTGTATAATAAATAATAATGAATAAATATTCATGACACACGAACATGGAACATATCACCAGTTTCTAAAACCTTACAGTTATTAAACAATTTATTATAGAATTTCAAATATGTATTGTTGTATGTACTGTATAAAGAATTTGCGAACTTATTCTTTAAAGTTCTGAAATTTAGATTTAATTTTAGGAACATTTTTCTCTCAATCAGTGTCCAAGTTAATCTAAATTAGGGAGGTGAATGAATGAGTTAGGAAGATATCTGCGCTTCCCCCAACTTTGTCCCGCTCCGAATACGCCAGGCGACTAATAATAATTTATTATGATCAAAATAACTACATATAATAATAAACACTACAGGCAACCCGTGTGACAGGAAAAACATACACAGCCATGTGATCAAATGTTAAAATATTTATGCACATGATTAAAAATTATTTATTTAATATCTATTCTTTTACAACTTAATGCTTATATCAGTATGCACAATTAATTTAAATAAACAAACATACTTAAATTTTTAAATAAATCAATTAAAATTGAAAATTTGCGAATAAACACTCAAACGGCAATCTAATTAAACAATGAAATTGTTTAGCACAGAATCATTAAATGAAAAATCAATATTTAGACCAGAAAACATTACCTATAGAAAATAGTGGATTTTTAGTTAAATTAAATAACGGTGAAATTACAGCTGTATTAGATTTGACTGCAGCTAGGATATTATTAAAAATTAACGGAATGCAGCTTAAAACGCAAATTGAATCGCGACTTAAAACTCCTATTTTTGATACTATTAACTCGACATAGTGTGTCAACCAAAATCATTTAGATATTTTTAGCTAATTATATTTTAATAATTTAAATTTGTGCGTTAATAAATACTAAAAGTTATATAATTAAGATTAGATAATTAAAGTTATTATTTTAGTAATAAATCTAAAATTTATGGCACATGAAAAAACATTGTACAATTACAAATATTTGAAATACTACCTGTTACTTTGATGAAGGACGAATTTTCGCTAAGAACCCGATTTCAACATTTGAATTAAAAATATATTTCTTGAGCAAACATTAAATTTCAGGACAGGAACTAAGAAAATTCTAGAACTATGAATAAACAGAAATTTTTGTAATATTAAAATTAGCACATCATAAATTTCATTTTAAAAATTATATTAGTCATTATATACTAAAATTCAAAAGTGCTCATTTGTTCTCAGCAATTGTGAGCATTTAATTTGTAAAAACGAATTTTTATTTTTAAATAATTTTTATATTATAGAAAGGATTCTAAAATGTTTGAAGGCAAATAATACTAATGAAAAATTGAACAATAAAACAGATAAATGAAATAATACAAAAAATTATAAAATTATACAAAAAACATTAGAAAGATTAATTCTGATATAACTCAAGAATTTAGGAAAAATGGGTGGGAAAAAAAATGGGTGGGAATTCATGGGTGGGAGCACAACATGAAAACACCAAAACCTATGAAAAAATAATTTATTTGAACATGTAATTTTCGTAGTAAAATTTTTCGTTAAAGTTACGAAAAAATTATTAAAAATAACATTTTGTACGTTCATAGATTATTATCCGAAATGATGAAATGCATAAACTTGTTGTCATACAAATTTTAATTACAAAATTTAATTTTAATGATACATTAATTATTAAAAAATTTATAATTAATATTTCAAATTTTTAAGGGTTTGATACATAACCGTCTGTTTATATTACCCGTCTGTTTATATTATATATTAATTTTATTTCCTGTTAAAATCAACACATATATAGACATAATTAGCGAATTAAATGACTGATTTAATAATATGTGAAGATTTAAAATAATAATGAATTAATTGTACAGTGCTGTTCAAAATTATAAGCGCACTTGAAAAAATTTAATAACTCGGGGCTTAGTTATCCAAATATTATCGAATTTTGATTTAAAATACTAAAACGTATTAGAAATATGTTGACATTAAAAGATTTTATAATTATCCATTTGAATTTTAAAAATTCGAAATTTTCACTAAACGCGCCAAATTTGCCTGTTCAAAATTATAAGCGCACTTTGGATTTTCATATTTCTAACATTAGGAATCTACAAAAATTTGAGCAGCATATCTATCGATATTAAGAACAAAAAAAAGAACTAGGCCCATATCTCATTTCAATGTCGAGATCTCGATACCCTGAAAATAGGGGTAAAATAGGGGTAAGACTCTAAAAAATATTTTGACCGCTTATGAATTATTTTGAAATTCCTATTTAAGCTTATTTGATAGCCCTTGAAATTTGCTACAAGATTGTCTGAATCTTATTTTCCAGAAAAAAATATTTCATTGGTTATTAAGAGTTAAATTTTATGTCTCCAAAAAACAACTAAATGCCCGATAAAATGCCCTTTACGGTCGCCTCGCTAGATTGATGTAATATACCTCTCAAATGAATTTTTTTGGTAAATATTCTGGAATTTTTTCTGGTCAATTATTTCAAAAAATTGACCAGAAAAAATTGACCAATTTTTTCAAAAAATTGGCAATTAATGATTGAAAATTTTTTAGAACTACAGGGTGCGCCATAAGTAATTGAACACATGCTTTCTCTCATAAGTTTTTAAAACACAATCAAATACAATCAAAATAAAATCAAATGATAGAGAATTAAATAGGGAACAAAAATAATCAAAAAGTTTCGAAATGACCACCCTTGGCTTTGATACAGAGGCGAAGGCGTAAGAAAAATTGTGTTCCGGAGCAGAGTCCTGTTGGAAAATCCAGACTCTGCGACCGAAAAGTCTCCTGGCTCAAGGCTTCACAACACGCTGCATTATTTCTCGCAAGCAATAGTCTTTTTTGACTTTTACCCCAGAATCCACGAAAATAAGGGTTTTTTGAATGACGGGCAAATACCGGCCCAAACCATGACAGATTGGGGATGCTGGGAATGTGTGATAAACTTATCAAAAAGAGATTCTGTAGTCCAGATTCTATAATTTTGATGGTTGATCGGCTTTTATTGTAAAAATTTTTTCCTCTGTGAAAAGAATGTCCGGACATGCGTGCCACTGTAGGAGGAGTTTGCATCTTGCCTGTCTAACTTTTTTAGTATTTTTGTTGGCAGTTGTGCTTTTTGGATTTTGTAGGGTTTTAACCCTAGTTTATTTTTAGCTATTCGTCTGACGGTCCTCTCACTTATTTCGGTGTCACGAGCCACTTTTCTTACGGAGGGTCGATAATTGAGGTGCACCCAGTTTTTGATCATTTTAATATTCTTGGAAGTGTTTACGGAACGAGGTCTTTTACTTTTTTGTAAGTTCTTAGTTGTGCCATGATTATCAAATTAATTAAAAAAAATTTTTCTCCCAAAAAATTTTCACCAGAATTTTTTGATTGTGTATTGTAAAGTGCTATATGGGGCATTCAAAAGAGATGAAATTTTGCGGACTGAATTTTTTTGTAAAAAAAGTGAGATTATAGAATCACGTTGACTAGCCATAATAGAGAATTGAATGAGCTAAAAAATAAGCCTAAAATAAATTAAAAATATTGACAACAAAAAAAGTTATAAGGAATTTAAAAGTGTCCGGTTACTTATGGCGCACACTGTAGATGGATGTTTTTGTTTTGATTTGATAATTTGAACTTATTCAATATTCGATCTTCAAAAATTTTTTGCAACCCTAGTCTACAGTAACAGTGTTTTTCAATTCTGTATGAAATAAATAAATTTACTTTAATTTCCTTTTTTTGGTTTTCCATCGCTTCCTGGCATATATCATTACGTAAATATCTAACTTCTAAAATACTTTTATTAAATTACCGCATTTCTTCTAATAGTGCGATTGTCTCTATTAGACCGACCTCATCTATTAAACAGACCCTCTTACTTCCAGTGTTAATGTCGTGTTTTTTATCTAGAGTTGGCCGGTATCGGGATCCCGACCGGTATCGTGCGATATTATACCGGTTTTTTGAATCGCGATACCGATTTTTTGATACCAACACCGAAATACAAATCCCGATACCGTTTTTGCTGATACCGAGGCCGGTATCGTATCTGGATTGACATCGAATAATGATGAAAATCGGTATTGGCATCAATATTATTAAAGACTGGTGAAACAAAATAGGAGAGTATAGGGTGAGTGTAAGGCGGGTTAAGAGGGGAAAGAGAAAATTGGACGCAAAAATAACCAAATTTGAGTAAAATTATGTAAAAAGCAGGGCATCTAAACACCGTGACTTCAAGCAGTTTTTATTGAAGCAATACAAAAAAATATCGGTGATTTGGTGGGATATCGGAAGATATAAGGCGGTTTAAGCGATTAAGGGGATTAAGGTATATAGATTTAGAGATTATAAGTAACCTAGGCACCAGAGATTTGTTGAAATCAGGGATGTCCGCAAATGAAAAAAATTTCTGCAGCCGCAATTTTAATTTTAAAATCCGCGCCGCAATCCTCAGTCCGCAATCTAGGGATATAAAGACTAGTCTGAAAAAATAAGGGATTTGAAGTATTAGGGAAGCTTTCTTTTGTTATCAGTGATTTAGAGAAATATATAAGATTAGAAATTTGAAAGGATTGAGAGAGATATAATGAGATTTGTAAGAATAACAAGGGATAACAGAGGTTAAGCCTGGGAAAGGGCATTCCCGGTTTTCCCGGTAGGGTCCCCACGGTCCGTGACCGGACAATCCGTCAGTGGACAATCCGGCAGTGGAAAATCCGTCAGTGGACAATCCGTCAGTGGCCGGACAATGCGTCAGTGGACAATCCGTCAGTGAACAAATGAGTAATTCTTACTTCTACTTGACCTACCGCTGGCAAAAATTTTCATTTTTCCGTGTTGGGGATTATAAAAGATTCGAAAATTTGTACATTAATGAGGAAATCGGCAAATTCGGGTGAATTAAAAGGTCATTGGATTTGGGAGACTTTGGCAATTTTGATGAATTAAGCGAATGTCAAAGGATTTAGAACGATATCGGGATTTGGATGGATTAGATCTACGTGATTAACGGGTGGGATTATTGTTGGATTTGGATAAATATCGTAGGATTATGGGAACGCGATGTATAATAGATTGTTTTTAGATGAATATCTTGGAACCACCTTCAAATCCTCTTGATCAATATATATCCGATGATATCCCACTTAATACACGAAATCCCTTTTAAACTCACAAATTCCTCGATAACCACCATAATACTCTAGATATATTGTATTTCCCTTAATTCCACGATATCCTTTGAAATATCCGATATCTCTTAAATCCAATGACCTTTTAATCCACCCAAATTTGCCGATTTCCTCATTAATCTCCAAATTTTCAAATCTCTTATAATCTCCAATACGAAAAAATGAACATTTTTGGGCGCTATAGGTTGGGTAGGGGTAAAAATTACTAATTTATTCACTGACGGATTGCCCACTGACGGATTATCCGACTACTGACGGATTGTCCACTCACGGATTTTCCACTGACGGATTGTCCACTGACGGATTGTCCGGGAGCCCCACGGTCAACCTTCAGAACCCGTTTCCCGTTTCCCGGACCAGGTTTTTTTCAAAATTCCGATCTCTAGTTTATACCTCAGTTGAATCCTCATTAAGGTATGTAAAATGATTAGAAGTGATTGAGAGTATTGGAGATTTGCAAGGTTAATGGGATATTTTTGGGATTAACACTGATTAGGTCATTAATTTATCAGTAATTTGGAGAGGTAAGAGGTAATTTGGAGAGATCCAATCAGTAATTTGGAGAGATAAAAGGAGACAGTTTTTACTCTTATTTTGACAAACCCAATTTTTTCTAATTATTATTTTTAACTATTCTACTTCTAAAATTTCAGCTTGAACGACTCACTGACTTTCTACTTTACCTTTGTAAGTTTTTTGCTGGTGATACTATGAATGAACAAGACATTTTGTCCAAAGACAAGCTTTAAGCAATCAGTAATAATTAGAAATCCTATTAAATTAGAAAATAATATAATTAGAATTGTTAAATAATATATTTAATTTAACTTTTCGTAATACATATTTACAACAGATATGCTCATTTATGTTCAAGGCTCTACCTTTCCTAATAATTCAACAAGAATTGGTTTGTGTGATAAAAATGTTTTTAAACTATGATAAATTTTTTTTACTTTTATAGTAATCATTTAAAATTAAAAATTTAAAGGATTTAAGAAAAACAATTTTAACAGAATATACATAAAATATAGAAACTAATTATTTATATCAAATACTGAATTTTAAATTGAATATGTGAGATGCAAAAAATATAGCAAAACAGAAAATATAATAATAAAATAGTTATAATTAATATAATTCTAACAATGCTAAACAATAAAACGTTATGTATAAATACATATTTAATAATAAATTATAAAAAAGAGGAATCGTAATAAATTGAAATAACTTGGCTTCGATGAAAAAGAATTTTCCGTTTACAATAAATGATTTAGTTTTTCTACCTTACAAGTTGTTCAACTTTTCTAAATGTAAGCTGTTTAGTTAGCAATAAATTGGAGGTAATAATTTTATTCAACAAATAAACTATTTTTTAATAAAGCATTTTTCTCAAAAATAGGCTAATTTTTTTATTTTCTTATTGAAATATTTTATAAAAAATGAAATTAATAAAATAAATTATATTAAAGCAAACTAAGGGCCATTCAGGATTTAATCACTGTTTAATATTGTAAAATTATACATATAATTCAATTTTTCAAATTGAATTATAAATTTGTCAATTATATTTAAATTATTCAAAATAACAATTAATAACAATATTCATAGCCAAAAAATATATCGAAACGAGAGCAACAATTAGCAAGATTAGCAAAATTCAATAAAATCATTGCTATGAGAGTAAAATAATATCCTTATGGGGTGTTAAATGAACATAAAAATTGCTTTGATATGGTGTTGATGAAATCTATGAAACATTAGTCGTTAAGCGAAAATATTATTATTCTATATAATATTATTTAAATATTTCAAGCTAATTTTAAAAAATAAATACGAAAATAATTATTAAAAATATATAAATATTAACAACGATATTTTGCGAAATTTTTGCGAAAAAATTAACTCATTCAAGTATGTGAGGCACTAAATATAAATAAAATTTAAAAGTAATTTTTAATTAAATTACTTATTAAATACTTATTTTCCATTAGAAAAATATATTGACAATTATTGTTGATTTTCTTCTTCTTCTTCTCCTTCTTTATTATTGAATATTTTATAATATTAATTAAAAGTATCAATTAAATAATTATTTACTGTTTGATTTTTAATTTCCTCATTTTCTTCAATATTTAAATAATTAAAAATTTTTGGAGAATAAATTAATGAATTAAATTAAAAAAATTTTTTTTTAATTATTAATTGAATAATTATATGTTGATTGAAATTGATTGGAAATAATTAATGATTGTGGTGCTAATAAATGTAAATCCAAATTCAGAAGCTCGAATTAATAAATCAACCATCTTTGTAAATAAAAAATTAAGGATAAAAATAATTAAATTGTTTGAAATTAGGTAAGGAATTTTTTAAATATAATATAAATAATTAATAAAAGATAGAAAATTGACAATAAAAAATTCTCCTGTTGTTTTATTCAAAGAAAGAGTTTCTGATATTTTCTCTGTTCATAAATTAATGAATATTCTACCTAAAAACAAAAAAATATATTCTAATCATTTATTGATTACTTTCGCAGAATTACCTATATGGATCAACAGCTTCAAAAGTATATATTAAATCTCAAAGATTTCCATCGCCTTCAAGTAAAATCTCCAAATAACACTTACTCTTTACCATAAAATTGAATAAAATTATAAAAGCAAATAATTACCTTTAAATTATTAATATATTTACTATTGGAGAATTTTTATTTTGTTCTCAACAGGAGCAGTTTGAGAAAATGCTTGTGAGGCTGTCGAAGCCGAGTGAATTACACGACACCGAGTTGTACAGTAAATTAGTGGAATGATCGGTGAGTTCAATTTTGATCTGTCTAGTGGAGTGGAGTTTGAGTTGAGCAGACATCGTTCCTATTCTGAGGAGGACCCTGCCAGAAGTGTAGTCAAGAGTACGCCCAAATTGAAAGGAAGATGCTGCCAACCAAGTTGAGTGAGATGAAGTTCGACGAAATGTGCTGTGAATTAGTGAAAGAGTTTAGTCTCAAGTTACTAGAAACAATAAAATTTAATTATTTAATAATACAGCTTTATTAAAGTATACTTAAAAGTATAAATTTATTAAATGATATTTTGTTGAAAGTAGAAGAATCATGAAATTTGGTCATTTAAAAATTTACTTTTTTATAGAAATTTGCATTTAATTTAAAATTATAATTTATTAAAGAATTTATTAAAAATTGATATTAAATTTTTTATATATATTTTATTACATATAATAAATATTTGCCGTAATTGATAAATGAACTTATTATTTAATTTTTAATTTTATCTAAGAAAAATTCGACAGCTCAGCCGGTGAAACAGAAATACATGCTCCCGTTTCATTTTCAATTTAACATGAAAAAAATTTCATTTTAAAATTTGAAAAAATATTATTATAATATTTCTATAAATCATAGGAGTCGTTAATGTATTAAAATTATAAAATAAATAATATATAAATTAAATTGAATATAAATAATAAATAATAATTTACTTAGGTAATTTTATAAAACCAAACTTAATCGAAAGCTATTAAATTTCTGCTTCGTGGGTTAATTTGTTGAAAATGGACAAAAATTTTTATTGAAAAGTATAAAAATATATGTTACTTATTTATTTTTATTTTGTTAAATCTTAATTTATAAATTTTCTTAACAAATAGTTTGTTTTCATAAACATAAAATGAATCCTTAATTTAATTGGAAATATTTGCCATAAATTAAATAATTTAGCTCATGTTCCAATGCTAAATTATTTAAAAATTTAGCTCATGTACGAATTATTAAAAATTTAGCTATATGTACAATTTAGCTCATATACATATAATAAAATTTAGCATAATCTAATAGCAAAGTTTTATTTTACATTGTATGAAAAATTACTAAAGAAATCTCGATCTTAGTTATCTTCCTGTACACAAACAGAATGAATGTCATTGGAATGAATTTGAAAAATTATGTGGAAAATATTGATTGATCTACACTTATTATAAAAAGTATCATTTTATTAAAAAATTTAAAATTATAACAAATAATTTCAAATTATTAAATTTTTTTCTATTAATTAAATTATTATAGATTAATTAAATAAAAGATGAAATAACAAGAAAAATACTCTGAATATGCCGAATTAAAAAACTAATTAATCATTTAAAGTAGCAATGAAGACTAAATCACAAAAATCTCAAGTCTCTATTTAGGATATTTATGCCATGATATGATTAGTAACGATTTAGAACGTGTTAAAAATTTACAAATAAAAATTTTTAGAATTTGAAATTAGAAAAATTTTAATAAAACTCAAATTAATTAGTTTGTATGTTGGAATAATATTGAAATACTATATACATTAGGGACACAGCAAAAAATTTCAGAATGCTGTTTTAATTGTGCATGAATGGACCAATATAAAAAACCAATATAAATTTGTCGAATATGAAATCTCAAATTTTCCGAAAATAAACTATTATTTAT